GTAGAACCGCCACCTGACCATGCACCACGCCCTTCCACAGAGCTCAGGTACGCATGTCCGCAACGTCCAGAAACAATGGTTACTAAGGAAACCTGGGCAACACTCATGATACCGGAGAAAAGCCAAATCGTAATACTTTTTTAGGGCTATATGATTGTTAGGGCTATGGGGTTATAGGGTTACTAGGGACATCAGGCTATAGGGCCACAGGGCTACCGGGCACCCGGGCACCTGGGCAAGCGGGCACCCGGGCTAAAGGGCTATAGGGCTATTCCCCAATCACAGCTTGCCTCTGTAAAGGTCTTAGCGGGTTCATATGGTTAGGTTAGCTGTGGCGCCGATTTCGGCGGCGCCCCTGGGTGCCCGGTTGCCCGGGTGCCCAGGTGCCCCGGTGCCCGGGTGCCCGGGTGCCTAATAGGTGCCCAGGTGCGCGGGTGCCCGGGTGCCCGGGTGCCCGGGTGCCAGGTGCCCGGGTGCCCAGGTGCCCAGGTGCCCAGGTGCCCGGTAGCTTTATGGCCCTATATCCAAATAGTTTTATAGCCCTATAGCCCTATAGCCACATATTTGTATAGCCCTGTAGCCTTAATAGCCCCATAGCCCTACGATAGCTCTATAGCCTTATTGCCCTATAGCCCAATAGCCCGATAGTTTTGTAACCCTCTAGCCCCATAGCCCTATTGCTTTAAAAAGATTATGATTGGGGCTTTTCTCTGGCATCATAGGGCTATAGGGCTATAAGACTATGGGCTACCGGGCACCTGGGCACCCAGGCGCCTGGGCACCGGGGCACCTGGGCACCGGGGCACCCGGGCACCCGGGCACCCGGGCACCAAGGCACCCGGGCACCCGGGCGTGCCGCCGGAATCGGCGCCGCACTTCAACCATATAAATCCGCCAGAACTCCTACAGAGGCAAGCTCTGGTCGGGGAATAAGCACCACCCAGACCCGGACCACATACGCAACTATTTGCAGGATAGATTTGAACAGAGCATGCGGCATTAACTACCATGCCAGAACCCGACTATTCATACACCTGAGTCGCAGGAATCGAAAGTCCACCTTCCTTTTCAGATACTACCATGACCGACTACCACATGCACGAGTCCTAGAATTAGATAGAATGCACAAAGACGATGCCGCAGCACAACTAGGGGAAGGCTAGGACAAGGCGAAAGCCAGGGAACTAGCCACCAGACAGAAGCACACCGCACCAATGTTATTACCAGAAGACGAAAGGATAAACCACAAGCTAGATCCCCCAGAGCCACAACAAGCACATCTCGACAAGGAAACTGCACACACCACGGATATCAGCCAAACTTTGCCTTCAACGCCAGGTAGAATACCACATCGACTTCTTCTCAGGCCGGCGTAGAGACTAAGATCTAATTTGATCGAAAAAGACTCCAGCTTCCCCGTGGAAGTCAAAAGCTCCAACCATGCTAGTGACCCCATTGTGGAGGCATCTTACATTCTGAGGCTAGAGCGTTCTCGACATCACACATGGGCGCTGCATTTGTAGCCGGCATAAATGCAGGGCCGCCCAGCGAAACATTTGTTCGTTCGCGGGTCGAGAGCGCACCTCTTCCGGTCGAAGCTAAGCGGGCCGCGCGAAGCTTGAATTTACATTGAGGGGGCGGAAGGGGGGGAGAGCGCAGTGTCAGAGCGAGGCCGGGAGGGTGCAAAGCCTCGGGATCAGGCGGCGCTGAAGTCGACGCGCTTGCAAAGGCGCGCCTTGTCCAGGAACCCGGTGGCGAAGCACCGGCAGAAGTAAAATGTTGTGGTTAGTGCTGCCGTCCACGGCTCATCATATACACCAGCCTCGGGTTGACGGCGAGAGGTGACACGCCTTGCACCCGAGCTGCGTCAGAGACCCGGGAGAGTGGAGGGCGTCGCAGAGCCGAAGTGCAACGTTGTGCCATCGAACAGGTAGCAGGAGCGAGTGGCCCAGGGCCGTGGTCGTCCAGGGTGCTACGGGTCCAGGGTACGGGAGACGCAGTGACTTGAGGCGCGGCAGCCAGGACTTGCCAGGAACATGCCGCCTGTGACGACCGACAGGGTGCCGGTGCACTGGAGCAGGAGGCGCCGCCCAGCGAAACATGGACCTACATCGGCGACAAGACGAGGGACCTCGACCACTACGCGACATAGACGAGAAGGCTCACTTGTAGGGAAAGAGCACAGAGAGGAGCGGGAATGGGCTCCAACGAATCACCTTAGAGTTCCTTCTCGAAGTATTATCGCCACGTACGCCAGCGACAATGGAACGCCCATCGCCCCAAACTTGCGGGCGAGATGTGCTTCAACATGGAGACTCTTGAAGACAAGAGCCTCACTTACTTACACGCGAGGGGGTTACCGCGATCAGCTTCGACCAGTGCATGCTCGACTGCTGCAGCAGGAATCCACAACGCCACTATTCGCAGACCTGCCCACGGTATCTATTATATTCACACGAGTGGAAAATCGGGAACGCTGCAACCATCGAGAAGGACACCTCGCCGCCCTGGGTTTTGACAGCGCAGGCAATTGCAACGCAGCGCCGCTCAGGGAGTACCCGCCAAAGCTATGCGACTTCATTAGCAGCCTCTGCAAAGATGCTTGGACTACACTACTACATCGCGGAGTTGCCCCAGACTGCGCACACAGACAGTCCGATAGGTTCTATGCCAAGCCGGACGTACAACTCGACATGCAACCCGACTGCGCAGGCCGCAAAGTAGAACTACACGCTACAGGCACGCCGCCGAAGGACATACACGACATCGAGGAGAGGCCTCACACACCCACAGAGATCGCAGACGAATAACCGCAACACCAAGTAGATGCCATACATGCCACACCGACGCAGGACTGCTTAAGAGTAAGCAGAGAAAAGTACGGGACCGCCAGCATCATCACTTTCACTTACCTACCACGCATACCGACCTTCTTCCTGTACGTCCGCATGACCCCGATCTCCCTCCCCGCCACCCTTTACTACTGAGGCATCAGGAGGCACACTGACCTCTACCTGCACGCGTGCTTGGACACCACAGGACTCCAGCCAGCTTGCCGACACCGTCATCGTATTCTGGATTGCCCACCAGCCCGCCCACGTGATTTGTTCAATCATGCTTACTACGGTACGAGGATCCTGTATCATACAGTCCAAGCGCTCATTGGCCCTCCATCAAGATATCGGCTGAAAAAGCCTACGTAAATACTGCGTGCATACAATATGTCTGGAGCGAACTACCACAGCATCGACGATACTCCCAGAGTGCACCTGATAGCCGAATCTGCCATATTGAAAGGCGATCTGCCGTACCAGAACAAACATATCGTTACGAGTGCTGCACATGGAGATGACGGCAGACAGCTCATCACGATCAACGATATCAAATTGGCACTGCGGCACCACTCCAAGGAGCTCTACCACAAGTGCACCAACGTGTACAAGGCCCAATGCATTGAGTGCATTTGTGCAGTCACTATCAGTGAACGCCCCGAAGGACCACATGGCGGGAAAGAACCACCACAGTCTTTGCGAGATCGTTACTGGCATACTACCAAAAACTACATCCCGCTAGAGAGCCATCCACACGACACAGCAGCGCGGTTCCACTTCCACGTACCATAGGACCCTGAGAAGTAAGACTACGTCACGATCGAGATTGACACCGGCCTTCCTAGCATCGACGGGCTGAAAGAGGCGACCGCTGCCAAGTTATATGGCCAACAGCACGACTTTGAAGCAGGCCAGTGCACCCCTATGAAAGTCTACTACATGAACTACAACGAGTACGAGCTGGCAAACGAAGTCACTTTACCCTACCAGCCCACTATTGCAGGTGGCACAATGGATTTCGTGGCCGCGCTGAACTGCCAGGGCAAACCCACGCACAAAATTGCTGCAAGGCCAACGGCCTCCCATCCCCAACGGATACGCACAACAAGCGCACCTTGCAGACGAGAATGTACGGACACGCCTAGCGTGCGCGTGGCAGTACCCATGATGACGATTATTTGAAGGAACTACGCAAACTTACCAGCACATACGTTGGTACTCTGTTACTGACACCACACCATACTACCGAATGCCTAGGACGCATTACATCTACAGCGCTACGGACAAGGTACGCACCGTACAACGGCACACGCAAGGTACACCGTCTTCGGTAGTTACCCCCACATCCCATGAGCAGGCCAGCCCCTCCCTCCGTTTTCCACCCCTCCTTTTCTGCGGGCTTCAGGATGGTATCGAGGTCAGGCAGGTGGCCTCCCCCCCTTTTCTGAAACAGGGTCCCCCAGTGGACCGGGGGGGCCCCGCGCATCTCGCCCGCGGCGCGCCCGGCGCGCGCGGCGGCACGGCGGCGTGGATCGGAGACGCCCGACGGCGCTGCGAGAGGAAAAGGAGGAGGAGGAGGAAAGTGAGGAGGAGGAGGAGGAGGCTTCTGGAGGCCCTCTTAGAGCCTCCTGGGGGCTTCCTGCGAGCCTTCTGGGACGTCTGACGGGCCTCTTGGGGGCCTCCTGCGGCCTCGTGGGGGCCTCCTGAGGCCTCTCGGGGGCTTCTGGGGGCCTCTCAGGGACCTCTTGGCCTTTGGAGGCCGTCGTGGGGCCCGCTGGGAAGCCCAAGCACGCAGGCCCGTTCTGTCGCACCACATGCGCCAGAGGGCATGCTCGCCCACGGCCGCTCGTGCGCACTGGCGGAGTGGCCAGAAACCTTCGTGTACCCCACACGCGCCCCGTCCGATCGCCACCGACGCCGAGAGCACACGGTCGGGAACTGTGGGTTAGCGTGTCGCTTCGCCAGTTCTGGCCCACCACGCGTCGGCGCAACACGGGTTCCAGTTCCGAGCGTCAGCTTCACGAGCCCTTCCGAGCTTCCGCCCCGCGGAGCGGAGTGACCCGCTATCCGCTCGCCGGGGCCGCCGCCGCGGCACGCTGTCCAAAAGTTCCCGACCGTATTACCCCGCTCGCGCGCGTGCATTGTGTCAGAGGGGTTGGGAGAGCAAAGGCGCACGAGTTCCCTGGCATGAAGGAGACTGACCCGCAACCATCGCCAGCGATGGCTGGCGGTCTCTTTTCGATACACAGGCGCGTCGCAACGTGTGCCCCTCGTTTGCGAGCGCTCTGCGATGTTCGATGTCTTGCCGTACCTGCCATGTTGCTGGAGCCGGCTGGGGGTCTGAGCTGGCACAGCACTGACTCCGGCGACCAGGAATGTGGAACAGGTTCGAGGTTCTGGAGTCGAGAAGGTTGTTTGCCTTTTCGGCTTCTGGGGGCCGCTTCCAGGCCCCAGGACAATCAAAAACGGATCCAGTTTGAAAAATTGCATAGGTGGACCCCCAGAGGGATTTGGGGACCGATTTTGAGCGGATTTGGTTTCATCCTTTCTCCTCATTTGTTTTCTGGGGTCCCAACCAGTTCAGACCCCCTGGCCGTCTCCAACCCCGTGTCCCTCATGGGTTGGGCGCGATGCCCTCATTGCACATTTGTTGTCTGGCGTATCTCTCCGACGCGGCTTTTGTTACTCATCAGGTGCACGTCGGCCCGTTTGATTGGTTGGAGTTGGTATCTTCTCCTGTCTGCACTGACCTGCGCTATATTAGAGTCAGCATTGGCATCACACTTCGACGTATCAATGTTGAACTGCGCTACTAACGATTGCAGAAAGATTGCGTCGATGGTAATTGGATGTTCCGTGCTACCTTAATGTCGTGTTGTGTTTCTCCTTAGTCGTCTGGCAGTTGCCCGCGCCACGAATAATCTGGTCTGATTGTTTTCTTTACCCCCAATTCAGGGAATATTTCTTCGACATCGGAGCATTCGACGAAGGTATGTTCCATTGGGGCGGCGAAAATATTGAAATTGGCTTCCGAGTATGGCAATGCGGAGGCATCGGGTGGGGATTGTTGCGTCACGGGCGCAGTGCAGGGGATGCTGAGGGCATTGTTTTGCAGGTGGTGCGAACAGAGAGGGTCAATATCATGTGCGTTTCAAGAGCAGGGCCTTCTGGAACCAAAGGAGCAGACAAGAGTAAGACAAAAAACAGCAGGGACGCTGGGAGGTTCCATCGAGCTCATCAAGTGCTCCCGGGTCGGCCACCTCTGGGGCGGCATGGGCGCAAGTTGTGGATGGCCAGGTTCCTCGCCAGGAGTACGTCTTTTTGTCTATCGGATCTCGTTGGCAGCACCATATGCACGTGGCAAGAGAAGGGCAGCTCAAGAATCGCAAGCTACGAGGTCAGACAGGCGGGCAGGCAGTCTGCTGGCAGTACGGACGTCAGCATCAGCACGCGCAGCTCGTATTTGAGGGGGAGAGACGGTCACCAGTCGGCGAGCCTACGCGAATATAGTGGGCACGAATAGGCGGAGAGATCCCAGCATTAACAAGCGTTAAATTGAGAGTTATCGGTTTGCACATTGACTGTTTGTGTTTGTGCACGTTTTCGCAGGCATGCATGGGGTGCAGTGTGCGAGTGGAGACACAGATGGTGGACGAGCTCGAACAAAGTAATGTGCTGTTGTATTCGTGTTGGGGCTGTGGCGCATCAGTGACCGTGTCTTGTACACAGTGTTCTGCAGCCAACCTCCGACGAGTTGAAGGGTCTGTGTCTGCCGTCTCCTGGCCGCCGCAAGGTCAGTGCAATTATTAAGAAAGGCGGGCCAGGAACCGTGAACAAGTGGCGGGCTATTGAAGCTTGGATGGATCCAGTGCACCAGGACATCATGCGACATTATTTGCCATATCCAGAAGAAGGTACTGGTGATATATCAAATTTGCTTGATATTCGTGACAAGTTGAAGTGCAAGGACTTCGATTATTTCTTGGACAAGGCCTACCCTGAGTGCTGGATGCGAGTCATCCAGACAGCGAAGTTCAGGGGATTGTTCCGGAGGGGGTGAGGACGAGGGAGCAGGGATGAGGGTGTCACGATTGGGCGAAAGGGAACGATGAGAGGGGGAAGTTTCTGTGCGGCGCGTCACTCGGAATGAAGACCATACTAGAGAATGTAGATATGATTTGTTTGGGAGGTCGGAATGATGGCCCCCTCGTTGCGAGGCAAACAAGCAACATGTGGATAATTCGCGAGCTTCAATCTCATACAGAGGCAATGTTTATCGTTAGTTGGAGGGCAATATGCCAACGGTGTTAGCACGGAGGTGCTTCTCGTCATGTGCATTCACAATACGGGCATGCAAGTTGCCGACCCGTGGAACTCACGAGCGGCACTTGAAGTTTGAAGGTAATGATTGTAATGTGTGGATCGCGTTTCGTGGATGTGGTTGTGACATATATGCCGTTGCATGCACGCACGTGGGTGCTGATAAGACATCGAGGCCCCATCTCGCCAGCTGCATGCTGTGACAAACCTAGAAGTGGACAAGCTGACACCTAACGGACGATCATCATGCCACATTGTAGTTACTAAGAGCGTGTCAGGAGAGTGCCAGCGGTGGGAATGCAGGAATGCCGCCCGAGAGTTGTGCATCGACGCGCGACCGAGTCCTCGAATGGAACCTTGCAATTCAGACAGGATTAAGGTGGCGCCTCGCTTTTGCACGCGTGGCTGTACTTTCACAGTGATGCGAAGGGGATGCAGCAAACAAATTGACTTGGACCTGTGGCACCATGACATCACGTCACTACAACAGAACACTCCAGTAATATCATCCGTTCGTTATTCAAGACGCTTCGCGTTCACCGTCCGCCCATTCCAGTTCTCACCGGACGAGGCGAAGACGGCTCCATGACGGGATAAACATAGGCAGGAATTCATACAAGTCGTGTGCTTTGTTGTTTTTGTCCCGCGTTCTCTCTTCCTATGCTATCGCCTACTGTGCTCAGGCATGCCTCGTGGCTGTTCGACAGTAGGTTTGTCGTACTTGCTACTGTTAGTGGTGGTGGTGCTGCGGCTGGTGTTGCTGCTGGTGTTGCTGTTGTCGCTCCTGCTGGTGGTACGGTGCAGTGCGGGTGCCGCTGCTGCTGTTGGTCCTACTTCTGCTGCTGCTGGCGCTGCTGGCGCTGGTGCTGATGGTGCTGGTGTTAGTACTGCTGCTGCTTGTGGTGCCGCTGCTGTTGTCAGTGGTGGTGGTGCTGCTGCTGCTGCTGGTGCTGGTCGCAGTGGTGGTGCTGCCGCTGCTGGTGGTGCTTCTGCTGTTGACGTTGCTTTCTGGGAGGCCTGTTGGACGTTCTCAAAGAGAGCCCAGTGGTGGTGAAGGTCAAGGGCCACGCGTTCGACTCCAAGGGTGTGAGCGAGTGGCCGACGAGCATCGGCGAGCTCTCGCACGTTCGCTGGTCGGCGTAGGAGGCGAGTGCTCGTGTATATCGGTGTCTGCAGCGGTTGCGCGTAGTCGGAGAAGGACGCGGGCGAGTGAGCCTGTCGTGGCGGGTGGCCGCGCGCACGCCCGACGCGCGTGAACTGAAGTGAGGGATGAGGGTGCGACAACGCGGCAGGGGGGAGGATTGCACTGGCGGGCATGAGGGGGGCGGGCACAGGCTAGCTGGCGGGAACGCACACGGCAGGTGCATGAGTGGCAGGATTGAGCAGGCGGGCGGGGTGGTCTTGGGCGAGGTGCGCTGGGGGGTGCGACTGTAGACGGAGATGTTTTGAAGGTCCCGCCTATGGGCGAGGCTTGCGACTCGGTCGGCAGAACGGTGCGGCGTCATGTCGACGGGTCGCACGATCTGCTGGCGCCATGGCTCAAAAACGCTTTCCTCCCGCAGTCGTCGTCGTCGATCTCGGTCTAGACATCCTCTGCATTGAGGGCTCTGTGCCCCCCCTGACGACGGCTAGGCGGGGGAGCGGGGCAAGACAGCAATAGGTCCGCATCAGGTGTCACGCGCGCCCGATGTCTGAGAGACGCGAGTGGGCGCGCAGCGTTTTGTGTCGGTGTGCGGGCGTCAGCAGGTGTCAGTGGCGGCATGCTCCCGTGGTGGGCTGCTGTCATGCGGTGGCGTGGCATTCCCGTAGTTCTGTCGCGCTTGTGCAGTCGACTGATCCGATGGTAGGGAAGGCGGCATGCTCCTGTGGTGGGCTTGTGTCATACGGTGGCGTGGCAGTCTCGTGGTTTTGTCGCGCTTACGCAGTCGATTGATCCGATGGCAGGGAAGGTGGCTCTTGGAGTGGGTTCTCCAAGGGCTGACCAGATGACTGGCCCGAGGTGTGCCGTGGTAGATGTCTGGGTGCTTGTCCCGACGGTTGCCCGGATTTGTTTTCCGTTGCTAGTCTCGGCGGTTGCCCGAGCGGTTGGTTGCCCCGACGGTTGCCCTGGCGGTGATCCGGCCGGCAAGGCGCCAAGAAGGGCCGAAGGGGAACCCGAAAAGGACCCAAAAAGAGGCTAAGAAGGCCCCGAGGCGGTCTGGGGGAAGCCCAGGGCGGCTCAAGCGACAGCACTTCCGCGTTGGGTCGCAACCGCGTTCGTCTTGCAGAAAAAACCGGGCGGGGTCTGACCTGGTTTGGGGTCCGTTTTGCGGCCCAACATGGGCCCCGCAGCGTCCAAAATGGACCCTTGGAACGCGCCCAAAAACGGCGAACAAAAGGGAGTGATGAAAAATGACGCACGCGAGCCCGGAAGTCAACTGTAACCAGCGTCCTGGACAGCCCCGGGGAAGCCGAAATCAGGCCAAAACCATAGTATTTGCTACTGTTTTTTGACATCCCCACGTGTCGGCGAGAATGAGCCAAAGAGGCGCTGTCGAGGGCTCCGGGAGCCCATATTGGAGGCCAAGAAGGGGCCCCGACGGAGCCGAAATGGAGCCCACAGGCGCCCCGGCAGCGTCTTCAGAACGATACCAAAATCGAGTTTGTCTTGGACGCCGTCGTGGAGCCGTCTTGGAAACCGAAAAAGGGCATTGCCGCAGCCGGGCGGCGGAATGGCGGAGGCCTTCGGGGGGGAAAAAGGGGGGGGCTAAAGCTCTGTAGTCAAGTCCCACACGCCCCTCAGCCCGGTGGGCGGGCGGATCTAAGACGTGTATGCCATTCCGCCGACCCTCAGAAGAGGGCACGTGCGGCTTCTGATGTCGTGTACGTGTGTGTCTGTGTGTGAAGTACCACTTCCTGTCTCGCTGACGGCGTGCATTTGTGGCTGAGTCGTCCTCCTCTTCCTCCGTGTCTGCTGCGGGGCTTCTCGGGAGCATCTTGGAGGCGTAGGGTGTGGCGTTGTGTTGGTTTCTCGAGGATCCCAGGGCTTTTTGTTACGGGGGGGGCCCTCTGGGAGCCTCTTGGGGTCGTGTTGGGGGTCTTGGGGGCCCTCTTGTGGGGGAGGGCGCCCGTGGTCCTTGCAGGTCTCCCTTCTGTTTGGGCCCCTCTTGAGACGAACGCAGACACGGTTCAAGGGGGCGTGATCTGGGGACCGCGCGCCAAATCCATGGATCGCTAATCCATGTTTGCGCGCCCCCGACCTCTTGGGGCCTCGCGAGGACTGTTCGTCCCGTCTTGGAGGCCTTGCGGGCCGTCCTGGGGCCCTCTTGGGCAGTCTCTTGGGCCTCTTGGTTCGTTTTGGACCAATATTGGTGGCCTCTCTCGCCGATCACACCCGAAAAGGCCAGAACGCGAAAATTGGATTAAGAAATTTGAACAAAATAAATGTTGCGTGCACCTTGGGGCCATCTTTCGGTGTCTTGGGCCGTCTTGAAGCCATCTTGAGTGCTTTTGAGCCCATCTGGGCGTGTTGGTGGCTTTCTTGGGAAAGAATATTGGGCATCTTCGAGGCGATGGAGGCTGGATTTGGAGGCTACAGAGGCCCTGGGGGTGCGTTGAGGAGCGCGTGCCCCTTCCAGCCCCGCCCCCGACCCCCCTGAAACTCGACGTTGGATTTTGGGGGAGTGGAACAGGGGGAGGGGGACATCCAACCATATCACACGCCTTTGCACCTTTAGCAAGCGGGGGCCGGTGCACTCAGCACACCCTTTCCAGAAGGTCATGCACGATGTCGCAAAAACAATGTTTCGCCGTCGGGCTTGCACAGTGACGCGTTCCCCCTCATACCAATAGATGGGATATGCAGAATCGTGCCTTGCACGTTCCATGAGTGGGGCAGCAGGAATTCCGCGCACGCATGTCACATTGCATATTGAATCACATGTCCAGGTGCTTGTGGTGAGATCCGTCATCGTGCCTCTGAGGCCGTCTTGGGGCGACCTTGGCGGCCTCGTGGGCCGTCTTGGATCGTCGGGGAGCCAAAAATGCGAGAACGCCAAAATCTTTCAAAAACCTTACGAAAATCAAAGATTTGGGCCTTTGCGGGCACTCTTGGGGGACCTCTTGGGGGCCTCTGGGGGTGTCTTGAAGGCCTCATGGAGCCGTCTTTGGCGTCTCGGAGCGATCTTTCGGCGACTCACTCTTGGACCATCTTGGGGATCTCTTGAGGCTCTCTTAGCCCGTCTTGGAGCCCTCTGGGGACCCAAAAAGTCATGCGACAAGTCGCAGGGAACCGCGACAAGCCCCGATAGATTTGGCAAATTGGGCTCCGGGCTCCGTAAAGAACCCCCAGGACTGAGGATTGAGGCTTGGGGGCTTGGGCAAAGAACCGGAGGACGCGCCCACTCCGTGCCCAGCGGCACGGTGGCGGATTCGATAAGGATGACAGGGGGGGCACCAGGATGATCTGGAACTGCTGGATTTCATATGGGAAATCATTTATGAGGCAGAATCACATGCAAATTTCAGTACGAAGTGGCGAGGGGATGGCCAGGAGAAGTCTGGGCTCGAGCGGGGAGGGCCTATTACGGTTCACGAGGAGCAGAAGGTGTGTGGTGCGATCTGTGTGGCGCGAGCTGTGCGTGCACCCTGCGACGCGAGCCCGTGCACGAGGCGTGTACAAGGCTGGCACACGGGCAAGTGCCGAGCGGAAGCCCAGGAATTGCCCGCCGGCGAACGGAGAGCGGGCACGCGGCGAGCACGGGCGGGCAGTCGGCTAGAAGCCATCCATGCCACTCCTCCTCCTCCTCCTCCTCCTCCTCCTCCTCCTTCTCCTCCTCCTCCTCCTCCTCCTCCTTCTCCTCCACCTCCTCCTCCTCCTCCTCCTCGGCAACTGTGCCCACCGGCCGAAATTCTGGAAACGCTGGCCAGCGCACAGGCCGCGCACGTGGCGGGCACGGGCGCCAATGGGCCGAAAGCTTGGAAACCGTATAGGAAATCATGTACTTAGCAGTCCGAGATTGAACGCCTTCTTGCAGGCATTGTTTGGAAAAGCCAGATCAGTAATGCGACCGCGGACCAGTTCGAGACGCAATTTCTATCGGGCTGGCGAGCCAGTGGTAGCGGGGTCATGTTTTTTTGTTAAGCCCTTTCTGCTTGACCCTTGCCCCTGGGGCCAAGCCGAGCGCGTACAAAGTGGAATTGGGCCCGTTTTCTTCCTATTTGCGATCGTTCTGACACTGCCCCTTGAAGCCAACGATTCAGCTCGATCAGATATGATGTGTTTGAGCACCAGTCCTTTACAACTGATGTATTCCATACTAGCAATGTTATGCGCCTTGATGCAGACCACAATGATTTCGTCATTGGCTTTACAATGTTGGGAAGTCAAGGGCATACTAGCAACGATTGGGAATCATGTTACTTTCAATGTTTAAGTTGATGTGGCACGTCAATATTGAGAATTACCTTTTGCTTCGTAATTTGCTTCAGCAATGCATAATTGCCAGCATGCGGGTAGTTGCTTTTCAAATGTTGCCGATTCCGTATCGCGTCCAGGGCAACAACCAGTATTTATTCTTGACCAAAAACTCAGAGTTGCTGTTGAACGCGTACAACGCGGACATGGACAGTTGTATTGAGGCCCCATTTCAAAGCCGAGGTCCGCTATCGGTTTACGGCTGCCATGGCCTTAAGGAGCGGTTCGTTGTTCGTTTCATGTGATCTCGATGTGGTTTGCTTGGCGAACGAGTACGCAAGCTTGCGCACACGAAGGGAATTCAGCACAGGGGCTCAAAGTATGAACGATGTGGCGCCTCGGATATCGATCGTTCGAGCTGGTTCGCACTCCGTACTCGTCCATGTCCACACAGCTTAGCAGCTCCATGATCAGAATGTGTGTAAAATGCCGTTGTGTAAGTTGCACGTTTGTTTTGCGAGCATGGCATTGTGCTCCCTGCTTATGCAACACGTGCGGCCCCAGGGCAATCAAGAATGGATATACGATGGTGGCATTATGAGACACCAGTCTTGGTGTCTAGAAGCGGGCCATGATGGGAAGGTGTTCGTCGAGTCGTGCCACGGCGGAGCAGCACAACAATGGGAGTGGATTGCGGTGCAAGACGAAAAGCGTTCCCAGCATCCTTCGAAAGTCTCCTTGCTCATCATCGCGATGTTCCCTATCGCCGTCTTTGCGATCATTATATCACTTCTGCTTTGTGCATGTTCTCACCAGCTTGCGTCCAACCACTGCCCCGTACCTTTGCCTCTTGCATCTTCTCAGGGCCACTGGTTCCTCTTCCTATTCATTGCTGCACGCGTGGATGAATAGATCCACATGCACAGCGCTGCTGGCGCATGAAATGCAATGCAGGCGCGAGCGACGAAAATCAAGACGCGACGCTTTGCCAAGCGTTCCATGATTTGGTTTCGGGTGTGGACGAGTAACGGTATTCGCGTTTGCAGCCAAGCTGGGCGATGAGGCGTTTTATGTTCTGGGGAGGGTAGACACTACTGGAAAAGTTGGTTTCGCAATTATGAGATCGACGTCATTCGAAGGAGCACCAATTGCGTGGCATCATATGTCGCCAACACCATTCGCAGCGTTGACGGGGTCTGCAGTCCTACGCGAAAAATTGCACGTCCATATTTTGACGATCTGTGGTCTTTTGCCTTGCGGCCGCCAGGCACGGGTGGTCTTCGGAGAGTACTGCGAGATGGGCGCTTGCAGCCTTGGTTGGAAGGACAGTTGCCAGCCCTGTCCCTGCATTCTTCATCTGGGCACGAGTAAGGATGAGTTCATGATGTAATTTCGCATGTGGTTCCCACCCCGACCGACATAGAACGCCTACATGCCCGAGTTTGCGAATCGCACATATACCATGCCGATTAGGCACGCCAGCCTACTTGCCAACACTTGCCAGGACACCGAAGACTCAAGGCCCAAGTGAAGAAAAAAACTTCGTAGAGATAAATTTTGAGTGGGGACATAATGGTGCACCCCGCTGATGTAGAAGTGTCCCAAACGCAAGCGTGGAGAAAGCAAAGGCCTTTCTTGCGGCTCGTACCGGAATCGCATAGGTGACAACGGGGCGGCGGTTTTCCTCTTGACAACGAGGGTAGAACATTGCACGGCCCTGGCATATGCGAGTTCTCAGTATTCCAGGACGGCAACATATAGGCCCAAGACACTCCAAGACGGCAACGAATACGAACCAGTTATAAAACGCATACTAATGTTTTATACAACGTATACGAAACGTATACGAAAGTATACGAAACGAGCAATCTTGGAGGCCTCTTGGGGCGATCTTGGGGCGATCTTCGGGGGCTCTTAGGCCTTCTCGTGCCGTCGGAAGGCCGAAAAGAAGCAAATGCCAAAATCCTTCAAAAACCCAAGGAATATTCATGATTTGGGCCTCTACTTGGAGGCATCTTCTAGCCCCTTGGGCCATCTTGGAGGCTGTCTCGGACCACTTTGGCCGAACCTGGAGGCCATCTCGGGCAATCCGAGCCTTCTCAGAGGGCCTCTTGGGTCATCTTGGAGCGGGAAAGGCATTGACAGGCAGATGTTGCGGGTCGCCGGCGAGACGTGCCGAGCCCCGGAGGGAGTTTTTTGTTGAAAAAGAACCAAAGACAAAGACTGGTCGGATCTAGCACGCCAGGGGCCTTTGCTGCAAGACCACAAGGGGCAACGGATCGAAGACGCCTACGGCGAAGCACCGCCGCCCGCTGCCTTTTGGAATCGCCCATGTGGCCGAGCGTTGTGGCAAGAGCGTTGCCAAGCTGTCGGGCCATGTGTTCCCCCAGCCGTTGCAGAAACCCTTCGGGTAACACGTTGGGAGAGGATGGCGGGGAAGATCAGGAGGAGGAGGAGGGGGCATCTTGGGAGCCTCCAGGAGCACTCTTGGGGCCTCCTGGGAGCTTCCTGGGAGCCCCTTGGAGGCAACTTGGGGGCCTGCTTGGGCCTGTTGGGGCCTCTGTGGCCGGCTTAGGGCATTCCTGGCCCGTCGGAAGCCGTCTTGGGGGCCTCTCTGGGCCGATTTAGGGCCCTCTTGGGGTGCTCAAGGGCCGTCTTGGAGGCCATCTTGGGCTTGAGAAGCCTCTTGGACCGTTTGGGAGTCCTCTTGGGGGCCTCTTGGGCTGTCTTGGGCCATCTTGGAACCATTTTGGGCCGTCTTGGTGGCCTCCTGGCCCGTCTGACGCCGTCGGAAGCCGTCTTGGGGGCCTCTCTGGGCCGAGTTGGGGCCCTTTGGGGTCCAGGGCCGTCTTGGAGGCCATCTTGGCCGTTTTGGAGGCCTCGTGGGCCGTCTTGGGGCCCTCTTGGGGCCGTCTTCGGGGCTTGGGCCGTTTTGGAGCAATCTTGGAGGCCTTTGGGGCGATTTTGGGGCGATCTTTGAGGGCTCTTGGGCCTTCTCGTGCTGTCGGAAGGCAGAAAAGAAGCAAATGCCCGAATCCTTCAAGAACCCACGGAATATTCATGATTTGGGCCTCTTGAGGGCCTCCTGGAGGACCCTCTTAGGCCGTCTTGAAGGCCTCTTGGGGACCTGTCGGGCCCCCGTGGACAGTCTTGGAGGCTGCGTGGGCGGATTTGGAGGCATCTTCGAGCCCCTTGGCCCTTGGGCCATCTTGGAGGCTGTCTCGGACCACTTTGGCCGAACCTGGAGGCCATCTCGGGCAATCCGAGCCTTCTTAGAGGGCCTCTTGGGTCATCTTGGAGCGGGAAAGGCATTGACAGGCAGATATTGCGGGTCGCCAGCGAGACGTGCCGAGCCCCGGAGGGAGTTTTTTGTTGAAAAAGAACCAAAGACAAAGACTGGTCGGATCTAGCACGCCAGGGGCCTTAGCTGCAAGACCACAAGGGGCAACGGATCGAAGACGCCTACGGCGAAGCACCGCCGCCCGCTGCCTTTTGGAATCGCCCATGTGGCCGAGCGTTGTGGCAAGAGCGTTGCCAAGCTGTCGGGCCATGTGTTCCCCCAGCCGTTGCAGAAACCCTGCGAAGAACACTTTTTTGGTCGGCGGGGCGAGAGCGAACCTCTTCCGCTAAAAGCTAGGCGGGCTACGCACAGCTTTAATTAGGGAGACAGGGCACAGGAGGGCGGGGCCTCAGGCGGCCGGAGCGGGCGGAGCCCGGGGTGCAGGCCGTGCCGATGAGCTTGCACAGGAAAAGGTACGCCGCGGACAGGCACCGGAGGCGAAGGTCCGGAGGGCGAGCCATGTGGTGTTGCCGTCAACGGCACGTTGCGAACACCAGCCTCAAGCACGGCAGAGGAGGACGTGCCACTTGACCAGGTCGACGTCCAGGAGGGAGAGGAGCACCACGAAGGCGATGAGCAACGTCGTGCCACCAGATGATGCGAAGGAGGCCCAGGAGGAAGAAGAGCACCACGAAGGCGATGTGCAACGTTGTGCCACCGGGTGATGCGGATGAGGCCCGGGGTGGTGGTAATCCACGACTAGGAAGCAGCTTGCTAGAGGTGCGTCCACAGACGAGGGCCGTCCTTGTCCGACAGGATGTCGGTGGAATGCCGGGAGAAAATCTGTCCTGCACCGTCAGCGCGCGAAGACGGGCAGCAGTCACACATGATGCGCTGACGTCCGCATCGCCGAGGGCCGGGCCTGAGCCGCGCAGCGCCATGGCGAGCGGGGCCGCCGCGGCGGCGAGGTGCAGCGCCCGGCACCGGGCCGAAGCGAGCGGGGGGGCAAGAAGCGAACAGGGAGGAGAGAGTCCGGCGTCCCACGTCAGCCGTCGTCGCGTCAGCCCGCACCGTGGGTGCTCACGTGGGGGACTGGGCCCCGACGGGTACAGGTAGGACACACAGTCCCAGAACACGTAGGAGACAGGGCGCGCCACGCTAGCCGTCGTCGTGTCAGTCCGCACCGCAGGTGCTCACAGGGACGACGGGCCCCGATGGGTACAGGTAGGACACACGGTTCCAGAAGGCGGTCGCGTCGCGCTGCGACAGGGCGAGGGGGTTAGGTCGCCGGCTGGTCATTGCCGCGGACGCTTTCCAGTCCAGCTGTCCTTGTACCCAGAGCTGCGCGCCTGGTCCTCTCCGCGCCCGTCACCCTTGGCGACCTCTCTTTTCCTCTGGACGTCCTGGCACAGGGTCTTCACCCGATCCCAGTCCACGTAGACGCCTGCGTTGCGGGACCACGCCTCCACGCGATGGTTGCTGGTGTTCATGTCGTCCAGGAATTCGTCAAGTATCCAATGCTGCCAGCGGCTCGGGTCGAGAGGGACCTGGTCTTTGGACTTGCCTTTGCCCTGCTCCTTACACATATGCCTGCACCACGAATGCCAGGCTGCGTTGAAGTGGTATCCCCCTTCCGCCTGCAGCCTCTTCAGGTGCGCGACTGCTGTCTCGCGTGGGCGGCGCTGCCAGCCGACGCGGAAGATTGCCCGCGTCTGGTTGGTGTCGGGGTGGCGGCGATCATCCCCGTGGTAAGAGCTGCGTGGTTCTGGCTGGCGCCAGGGGGTGCCCCCTCTGCCGCTGCCACGGTCATGGTCCTGGTCCCAGTAGCGTTTCCTGGTTCTGTCCCAGTGCCACGGTGCCCCCGCTGCGCCGCGGTTGCGGTCGCGGTCGCGGTCGTGCTCCCTTGCACGGGCCCGGTCGCTAGCCTCTCTGGACTCGCGCCTCACCGCCGTCGCGCACGACCCCCAGGCGACTGGCCCCCGCGCCCTGCTGCGCAAGCGCTCAGGCTGGTGCGCAGGGAGGGGGGCGAGTGCAGGTCGTGTGTCCTCCGGGCCTTTGGACGGGCTCCGCCTGCGCAGCTCCGGGTTGTCGGCCACGGCCTCCAGACGCGCGATCGGATCCGTGGGTGCGTCGGCGGCCTTCTGGTCGGTACTGCTTGAGTCGTGCTCAGGACTGCTGCGTCGTTCGTTACGAGGACTCGTCTTGGCTTGGTGCTCTTCGATTGTGTCGGAGTCTGAGGATGAGGAGACCGCATGGACCGCGCTTAGGGCCTCTGCAAGGCGCAGTGTTTTCTCTTGTTCCTGGTCGTCATTGGTCCAGTCGGGGCCCCCCTCCTTAGGGGGTACAGGGGGCGCAGGCTCGATGGTGGGATCCTGCGCGTCTGCATGCAGCGGGTAAGGTTCGAGCTTGGGTCTGGTCTGCGTCCCTCCTGGGGACGTCGCTTTGTCGCCCCCTTATCTCGGCGCCGAGCCTGGGGCTGTCGCGGGTTGCTGGCGCCCGCGCCCCGCGCACCTTGCTGCGGGTACTGCCCAGGAAGGCTGCTGCCCGGAGCGCTGCGTCTCCGCGGAGGACGTTCACGCGTAGCGTCCTGTTACCGGTGCCCCATGCTTCCAGCCACTCGCCGCCGATCTGGACGAACTGAGTCCGCCCGTCCTGTTCGCGGGCCAAGGCACTGAGGACGGGTCCAAATACCGCTCCGTCCAGGGGCTGCGTCGACAGGGGCTCGGCGCTGTCCGCGGTGCTGAACCACCTGGCGCGGGGGAGGGTGTCACTCCTGATGACCACGTAGTCGCCGCCCTGGATGCACGGGCTGGCCGTTGCGAGCGGACAAAAGCAGCCCGAGATGGGCGTGTCCGGGACTCCCCCTTGCTGCCGCTCGCAGCTGCCGGGCTCCGTGCACTTTCCGGGGGGGCTAGGCGCCGCGCCGACAGCCGGTGGCGCCCCGACGGACTTGGTAGCTGTAGGTCTTGTAGCAGGCAGGGCCAGGGCTGGCCCGTCGCCACGCGCAGTGGGCGGGAGCGAATCGCCGCCGTGAGTGGGCGGGCAGGG